TTTTTGACTTTGACTTTGGATATTTTGTACTTATGAAAAATCTATAACCTTTGCCATAACTTTTTAACGCTAAGGGCAAGTGACCTTTTACTTCACTTATGTAATCCTTGTGAGAAGACCTTCATTGGATACTAAAAACTTGACCTTGAAAATTTGTCCTTGAACTTCGAGTTTGACTTACTTTTAAAACCAAAACCTTGACCATTCCTTTAAAAGAGTTAGGGCTAGTGCTTTCATACTTTTCACATTTAATCCCTGTGATAAGACCTTTGACTTGATTGCAACCCATCAACCTTGACCTTGAAGTTTGAGCTACTTTTCAAAATTTTAACCTTCACAATAACTTCTGAACGGTAGAGGCTAGAGCTTCCATACTTTACATGTGTATTTATTGTGGCAAGGCCTTTCAGAGGATACCAATGACCTTGACCTTGAAGATTTCTGTACTTATGAAAAAATTTAAACCTTGGCTTACTTTACTATTTCACAATTATATTTCCAATGAGAATACCCTACTTTTGGTACCAATATATAAAATTTGCATTTGGCATGTTATACGGGAAGCATCCATGTTTCACAAACACATCTTTTTCTTATGTCCCCGTAATTGAAGTATTGGGTTTTTACATCATAAAATCCCAAAGATTTTTTGGTATCATAAATTCCGAAGATTTTTTGATATCACAAAATGATTTCTTGATATCAGGAATTCGAATTCTTAATATATAAAAAAAAAAAATGATTTTCTGATATCATAAAATCTTCTGGATTTTATGATATCAAAAAAAGTAATTTTTGATATAAAAAAAATTCGAGTTCTTGATATCAAATAATCGAATTCTTGATATTAAAAAATATGTCATTCATTCTCTGATATCACAAATTCGAATTTCTGATATAATTTTTTTTTTTGTTATTAAGAATTCAAATTTTTGAATTCAGAAAATGATGTATTGATATCAAAAAATATTTTTTGATATCAAGAATTCAAATTTATTAATATCAAGAATGTCTTTTTTTATATCAGAAAAACCTCAAATATATATTTAAAAATAACGTTTTTTGTTATCATGAATCCCGAGGATTTTTTATATATCAGAAAATGATTTTTTGATATCGGAAAATGATTTTTTTGATATAAAAAAAATCAATCAAATTTCTGATATCACAAAATGTTTTTTTCATATAAAAAAAATACCTTTAGTTATAATTAAAAAACGGCGCCCCATACTTCCCTGCTTTGATAAAGTTCATTCAATTATTTGCCTGTACTTCATGTGCATGTAATGTGCATTCTTATTATTAAGCGCTCGGTTTTACTGATTTTCAGTTCAAGCTTTAAAAGATTCTCTAAGAAGCTGTCTGATTTATTTACATGATCAGACTCTGTTGGTTTTGGCGGTTTTTCGTAATTTCCTTGAAATGATGTATGATAGGACTAATTTTAACTCTTTACAATATTGGTGATGGTCAAAATTTCAGACTACCGGACCGTCGGACTATCGGACCGTCGGACTACTGGGCTGTCGGACTATCGGACCGTCGGACTACTGGGATATCGGACTATCGGATCGTCGGACTACTGGGTTGTCGGACTATCGGACCGTCGGAATACTAGGCTTGAACCAACTCTGGGTATTATTAGTAACTAGAGTTATCATTCTAAGTGTATAATTATGAAAAGCAATGGTGCCTCTTTCAAAATTGTGAATTTCATGGCATCTGGTTTAAAACACGAACCAAATTCAATTCTTTGAAAGTTGTTTCATGATACTCGTATGACCTATAAGGCCCGTAAGCCTCTTGTTACTTATATTTTTTCTCTATATACAAGGGTTGATCCGAAAGTAATATCATAACTATGATCAAATAGCTACCATTCGAGGTAAAACAACAAAATCATGATTAAAGAATCGATGTACATTAATTTCAAATCAGACTTGAAAATTTCATTTCAACATGATTTATACCTTTCAAAACATCGAATTATATATATACAACTTGCGATTTTATATAGGAGCTGTGGCACGCATAGTCTCAGAATTTCTCCAAACTCTCTCTGATAAAAGTTATTGATACCCTAAACTGAAATCAGGCAAAAATTGGTTGCTGTGTTTCATAGTTACCATGGCAACATGTCTTAAAGTTCGAAAAATGGCATTTTTTAACATGTTTAGAGCCTCATAGTTAACATTTGCGGCAAAGCAAACAAATGGCAATGACTGTTTCCAAAGTTGAAGGTCAGATGTCTCAAATGCATGATGAACATGTTTGGTAAATCAACTATTACATACGTTACTATGGTAACAAAGTATTCAAAAGTAAAAAATAATATTCATTAAATTTTATAAAGTCATACACGTAAAAATAAAAAGCAATTATAGGATGAAATGTTACAAAATAATAGAAAAAAGAGCCTTGAAACATATACCAAGAACAAAATATGATATTTCATTTTGGTTGGCAATGGTTGCCAAGGTTTTTATACCACAGAGAGCTTTCAAAGTAACACTTTGTATAATAAAGTCTGATCCTATCTTTTAAAAAAAGCACATTTCCTCATAACTAATGATCAGTTTTGAATAGATGTCGGTGTGCTCCAAGTTTTCCCATTTGAAAAAATTCAGATTAGATTCTTTAAATAGAGCGTTGCTATGGAAATAAGCAGAAAATATATGCTAAAACTGAAAAATATTTTCTGTCCTTGGATACCCTTAAATGTAGATTCCCAAAACTTTTAAGATCGATATTTATTAACAGCTAACTTGACTTTTAATTTTGACTATCATCCAATCTCTAAGTGGATGCAAGAAGTTGGCACACAGGGTTTAATATTGATATAAAGTTCACAAAATCGAACATTTTCCCTTCTTGATAACTATAGCAACAGTGTAGTTTTATTCATCAAATTTTATCATTATATGATATTCAATTTCAGTTCTAACAGATAAGTACTATTCAAGCTGAGTCCTTTAATTTGTTTTTTGATTGAATGGCAATTTAATTCTTTATGCAGCAAAAAATAATTCACTTTTAAGCATTGGTACATTGTTTCCATGGTAACACTGCAAAGTACCAATTATACCCAATTTTTCTTATGGTTTTGGTGTTGCAAGGTCCTAAGGATGCATATTTGCCAGTCTTGAATTTTCATGTTTTTCCTCAAGACAGTAGGATTAAGGCCATATAAAATTAATCTTTAGATTCTCATCCCCGCCCGCCCCTCTCAAAATGTCCCGCCCCGATGTTTTTTATTTTGATTTTTGGGTATTTTCATGTATTTTTATTCAGTAAGAATTTGGTTCAAAGTTTAAGAGTTATCTCCCGTCTGTATTAAAAGTCGCGTGTCGCTATTTATAGCAAAAACGCCATGTGAAGAATGGAGAAAAATCGGCAATAAAAGCAGTTTAAATGTGTAAGGAAAAGATAATTTGTCAGTATAGAGAAGGCAGAGAAGAAAAAATAGCATAAACACATATAGATACCATCACTGACAGGAGCAAGTATGTAGAGAGATTGTAACTAAGTAAAAATACACAAGGAAAATGACACCTGGTCAAGTTATATATAACGATCTCCAACTGTGTGACTTAGCTTTGAAATAATAAAAAAAATCTACAACATCGTAGACAGATTTTTCAGTAGAATAATTATTAGAACATTTATATAGATTTTGCAAAATAAGAAGTTACGCATACACAATTTATTGGTATCCCTACCTCATTTTGTTCAGGGTGTGCCGTATAATGTGTACTTGATAATTTTTTGTTAATTTATAACAATAAATATTTAATTTTTAAATCGAAATTTTCTTTAAATATTTAAAAGAATATGAAAAGAATTAAATCTATTCATATTTGCATTAAGGTAAAGAAAAAAATGTGTACGGGGCGTCCATTGTTTTGTTGATACTTAGGCCTATATATAATTTAACAATTATAAAAAATAAAAAATAAAATCCGCCCACCTGCCCCAATTTTTTAGCAAATTAGGATGAGAATCTAAAGATTAATTTTACCTGGCCTAACCCAGTCTTAGTTACTGGTTTTGCATGGTTACACTGTGTTACTATGGCAACCATAAAAGTTATTTATAGAATAATATTGCTTATACTTATATACTTAAGGTCAAACATTTTCATTGTTTTTCTTAAGTCGTTGATTGAGTTTGAGCATGTAACACCTACCATTAGTGAATACGGAGTGTTTTTTAGCATATTTCAGTATTTTAAATGTATTCCATAATCTAAACAGTTTCTTTACAGTATAAGTGACATCAATGTGTCATGTTTTTGTGAGAATGGTTTGTTTGCTTTTTCTAGTTTTTATTAAGCCACAGTCAAGATTAAAAGTGACTGAAAATCTCGATTTTTCAAACTTTTCCGGCTGTTGCCATAGCAACCGAGACACATAGCAACGAACATTTGTTTAATATTTGTTTCTGGTGTCAAGTACTAAGCATGGGTGAAGTTTCATCAAAATCAGTGACCATGCGTGGCAAAGAAGTTTAAGTGGTTACAGAGAATGGCTATTAATTTATGACGTTTGGTAGTGACGCGGCGACACCCCTATGTTATATGTTTTAAACATCTAAAATAAAACAAATTCAGTAAAACATTATTAAATAAAAAAAATTAATTCAATTAGATTTATATATGTGCATCTTTTATTATATTGATTTGATAATCTGACGCCAAGTATAAAATATATAAGCACTGTGACATTACTTTTGGATCTACCCTCGGCATATTTTATTTTCTGAAAGCTAATACTTTCAAGAATTGAATAAATTCACACAGGTCATGCAAAAATTCCAAGATTGTCATTATTTTCCCCTATTATGCGTCACGTTGTCTCTTTAACAATAATACTTTTTCACTGTATTACAATTTCTACTTGGTATTCTAATGAAAAAGGAGCAAATAATTGATTTGCATTTTTGTTTACAGAACATAATGTTGACTGTAATCTCTGTTAATTTTATCTTGTTGGGACGGATGGATGGCCTTTGGTAGTCATTGTTACTATTTGAGTCATATGGAAGCAACGGTTGATGATGCTATGGTACACAACTTTGATATATTATGATAAAACAAAAAGATGTAGGAATTCAGCATAATGTCTTTGAACTTGCCAAGTATTTTTATACTGATTTTTTAAGCAAAAATATTATATTTTGACTATTTCTCAACTTTCGTTAATGGTAAGTGTATACTTGGATGTTGGTTCAAAATAAATACTTGAGTTATGGTGAGTGTCAAAATTTGACGCAAATTGTGTTAAAAAAAAACTTCATGCACACACAGATACATTGTTTTTAGTTAAAGTGTCCTGGAAGTAGCGTGTTAAACTTACCGTGACCTTTTTTGCAATGCCTGATGAAAGACACCCCCCAAATCGAAAATTTAACTGTTTATAGCGCTCTACTTTCGGTAGCCTAGAGCTTTCTTTCTGTGATCGAAAGGTCGTAAGTTCAAAAAATGAGGAGCAACTGTTGCTACGCCATGTTCTATGCACATTTTATGTGAAGGTTCGGGTCCTTCTGATGAAACCTTAAAAACGGAGGGCCCGTGTCACGGCTTTCGTTGGCTCGAAAAAGATTCCTCATTGCGCGATTGCAACGACTTTTGTAAAGATCAAAATTTAAACCCATCAACGGTACATGTCTGTATCTGTTGACATCTCTACGAGAGTGAAAAATTCTCGAATGGAACATAAAACAAACATACAATCAATCAATTCGAATTGATTTTAATTTAGTCTGCTCTATATATTTTAGCTGATGCCAAATAAATGTAATGCATAAGACAAAATTTGTAATATTTATGAAATATGGTATTATAGCATTGAAAACAAGTGTAAATTCGAAAATTCTTTTCTTTTTCTAAACATTATTGCATTAAAGAAGTTACTGAATACATAACAAACAAGGTCTTATCTATCTTAATGGTCTTAATATATTATATCGATCATTTTGTGTCATGTGTACATATCAGTAGTATGTTTATGCAGTTATACCCCAACAATATGAAACTCGAATATTTTTATATATTTCCATTTCCAATTTTGTTCTCTGTGATAACTCTTTGAAAGTTAGGGGGAGTTTATTTCTTGATAATTCTTTCGGAATCAGGTCGATAGGTCAGGAGCTAAGGATGTAATGCATGCAGAATTTGTAATATTTATGAAATATGTCTCTGTGTCTGACGCAAGGAGGCCAAATATGCATGTAAATTCTTGCCTTTGTGTTTGACTTCAGTGGGCGAGGACTATTGAAATTGGCATGGAAGTCCTCTTGTTATTTAAATCTATTAATCTACATTTTTAAAGTGTATTTAAATCTATTAATCTACATCTTTAAAGTCTAAAGGCTTCGCCCGTTATGCAAATTATCCCATGTTTCCCACTGTTGTTGATGCCCTGGCATACTCTCCTAACTAGGCAGCGATTCCTTAAATCAACACTTTAATCATTGAAAACTGACAAGGCAAGAATAGGCAGATTTTTATGCAAGTCAATTCTAATATGGCATTTTTCTTATAACTACGCTTTCTTGAGCATAGTATATATAATAATAGGTTTTCATTTACAAGACCTTCATAACACATTATCCTTTGATTTGGCATTTCAGGATTTTTGTAAGCAAAATGGATCGTATTTGATCGAAATAAATTCCCCTTTGGAAAACACCTGGATCAAAGATTCCTACCTGCTTCCGGTTAATGGTGGTGAGTTTGTGTTTTTATTGTAAGAAAAAAATATCCGGAAAAAAAAACAAAACGTCAGAAATTAAGGAATTCATTGATTTCCTACTGGGTATTATTTTCAGATCAGTGATGTTTTATCAGAATTATACTAAAAAAAACCTGATTCATTTTTTTTCTTAAATTCCATCACTTTTTAAAACATCTGTAATATTAATAATTAATTATTTTAGTTAAAGACATATTAACATGTAAATTTTAGCCGCCAAGACAAAATCATAATATTTATTTATCGTTTTTTTTTTCAAACTGTTTTTTTTATCACATAATGCTTTATTTTATTTATTTATTTTGACAAAAACCATATGTGGTGCAAGTCATACATACAGTAAACAAATATATAGTCAAATAAAGAATAATGACCTTTCATTTATTATTTCAGTCACAGACACATGTCCAAAATTCTATAGCTGTTCTGTTTGGATTGGAGCCAGATATCTATCGTCCTCAGGGAAGTTTGTCTGGAATCAAACTGGAGAGGAGATGGTTTATCCCGAGTGGGATGTTAATCAACCAAACAACCGCAAAGGGCAACAGGATTGTGTTGTGCTCATGCGCAAAGGAAAGGCAAACGACAGGGGATGCCGGGATAAGTTCCAGTTCATTTGCGAAAAGGCGGCAAAAGTTTTACCATTTTTACCCCCTGAAGGAGAGGGCTAAAAGGAGGAAAACACAAGTTGACTGTACAATCACAATATTTTAACCCCGTTCCGAAGGAGAGGGGTAAAATGAGGGAAAACATATTTACTTTTCAGTTACACTTGTTTTTATAAGTAAAAATATTTTAATTTTCTTCATTTTGGTGATCTTTTTCTATTTTTTGATTGAACAAGTTCGGAATTATTTACATTTGTTTGGTAGCATATCACTTTATTTTTCTTAAAGAGTAAGAAATAAAGAATTTACAATAGATACGTTTCGATAACATAAATGTTTTGTCTTTTCGAATATAATATATATTACCGTTTTTTTTTTGTTTTACAGGAGAATCTTTTCAAAATTTGGAAATCGTCGTATCTTGTTTGTAGTCTCAACCAAAAACACTACATTAATTGCTTGATTTACCTACTGGTTGTTACAAGTATTTGCTTACACAAAAATCAAAATAAAAATAATCGCACAAAAAAAACCAATTGTATTACTTATATTACTCCTTTTCGCACAGAAAAAACTTTTTTAAAACACAATATTCATCATCCCAAAACCCATCGCGGCAAATTCGTACACAGTGTTGTCCTGTTATGTATGTTTCCTTAAAGTTATCAGGTTGGTCTTTTCTCCAATTTGTGTAAGTTACTTCGGTACGACGATTCCAGGTGAAAACTCCTTCGTTATCAATGTCAGTTGCCCCAATCCAGGTCTCGCAGCAAACGAACCAATAAGGACAGTCGGCTACAAAATAATTAAGGATAGAGATATACTGACAACAATGCTCAGTAGGATTTATTTTTTTCTTATGACACTTAGGTGAAGACAACAAACACTTCCTATGGAAAATAGGGAAATAATATTCAAGCTCAGAAGTCAATAAAACAATACAAATTAAAACACCTTGTCATGATCGGAAAATCCGTCGTCATGCAAATTCTGTGGTTTAAAAAAGTATGAAAAAAGCCATCAGCAACTGTGTTTACTTTCAAGGTCACTGCATGAACCATACAACTTAAAATTACGAAATAGTTAAAGTATTGTTACCAGCAGCTTTGATTGGTTGATTGATTGTATATTATTTAACGTCTCTCTCCAGAAATTTTCACTCATAGAGATGCAACCACTTGTCGACTGAGAACTGCAAATTTTGTTCTATACTCGGCACTCAGGGTCATTGAGCAGGGAGAGAATTCCTTACTTCGCGACTTTAGAGCAGATGCTCTTACTATTGCGCGATCTGTGAAGTACCATGCCTCCGTGGCACCTCCACGCCAAAAACCTGTGAAATATAAAACTAACAATTCAAAAGATATGGTCAAGGTTCCACTTAAAAAAAAAAAATTGGTCAAACTTGATGGTCAAGGTCAAATTTTATATAGACAAGAATGAAAGACCTAGCATTTTTCAAAAGTTGTAATCTAGGTTAAAGTTTGGATTTTTTAAGAAGGTCAAATTTGGTGGTCAATTCGGAAGAAAAGTCACATAAAATACACCTGTAAAGTATATGAAAGCCAAGAAAGACGGACTACACCCCCGATACTTTGATTACGGGGGCATAAAATTTTAAAAAGAACATGGTGTTAAAAAAATTCATTGATAAATAATTATAATTAATAGAATATATAGTTTAATATTATTTAAGAATTAAATAACAACCGCAACGTAAGGATCTAAAAGTTCCTTACTTCGCGACTTTATGAGCATTTTCTTTGTTTTGATGCATTTGATCCAAGTGCATGCAGAGTCAGAGCCTAGTGAAAGTTGTACAAGTTATATCCCGTAACATCTCGTTGTTGGAGATGAGGGTCTGATTTTTAGGGTAGACTTCGGGAAAAATATAGGGAATTCGGGGATTATAGAACACTGTGACAAGTTTGAGGATACATTGAAGTTTTATGGAAAATTGTTCCCATCCCTGGGAAAATTCTTATATAAGAATAATAATACAAAATTTTCACTCACCCATTACTATTGTTACTTTCTTCTTGCATTTTCATACTTTTCGATAGACGTCACTGACCAAAATGACCACGTGATACTAGTACCATTGGGGCATAATGTATACCATACTTTCCTTAACATTATTCAGTTTCTTTTAAGGCTTAAGTTTGGCGTAATATAGTCCTCACAACATGCACGAGCCAACGTTAAGTAAATGAAATAAAGTATCAATTATCTTAAGAGTTTACAAATGTTACAGCAAGGATCTTACCACTATTCCAAGGTGTAATAAATGTTTCCAAGACCCATGCATTTTCTGAAGGCGTGTCTATCTCAACAAGTTGGGCGCCATGTCGTTCACATTGCACCTGTAATATTTTTGATACAATATTTCTTAGAAATTAATATGTTGTGTATACATACACACAATACTAAAATAATAATATTTTCATCCATTGTCTCTTACAGTTCATGAGTAAAATAAGACTGATTGATAGCTGTATGTTGTTAACCGTTCAAGTCGTGAATGTAGAGACATCACCATATACCGTTGAAGTGCGTTAAATTAAGATTTTATATTTGATACTCAGGTCCATAGAGCGAGGAGGGTTCTTTAACATGTCAGTGCCTTTCATTTTTAATGCATGATGCCTTGCGAGGAACAGTCACTGCCTATATTTATGACTTGACCTCAGTTTAGTGAAATTACATGTAGACACGTCATAGACTTTTAGATACAGAGGCAAGGGAAAATAATTTGATAGGATATTTCCATTTGTTAAATGATAAGAAATATTGATGCTCTCTGATTGGTCTAGACGCTCTTTTCTGAGGTGTTCCTCAGAGTGAGTTCACCTCAAATGAAGAACTGTGAGATGAATTCGGGATTTCCCTCTTGACCAACCATAGATTTGCTCACAGTTTTTTCCACCAATCAAATCGCGCGTTTTAAAACATGTGTCGTAGTGAGTGTAAACAAATATGGTAAACGGCAGGTATGCTACTGTGGAGGAAGCTGAACTTCATCAAATATTGCTGGAAAAAGATTCCTTAAATACAAGGCGTAACACTGCATCAGCTGTAAAACTATTCCGATCGTATCTGAGAGCTAAAGGGAAAAGTGAGGCATTTGAAGAGTTAGATTTATCGTCCTTGAATTCAGTGTTGTCAAAATTTTATCCGGAAGTTCGACAAGAATGGTGAAAAGTATAAAAAGAGTAGTTTGATAGTTATACAGAGTTAAACAGATTTCTTCAGACAACTGCTTATGGTGTAGATATTGTGAATGGACATGAATTTAAAGAACCAAATAGAATTTTTGATGCCGTGTGTAAAGATCTGAAACGTGAAGGCAGAGGGGGGATTTGAACACCACCCGGCGATTGAACCTGGTGATCTTCGTAAAATGATGGAATATTTTGACATAAATGACACAATATTACGCTTCTAGAAAAGGTTTTTGTGGACCTTATGATTTATTTTGGACGACGCGGGCGTGAAAACATCAGAGATTTAAAGGTGGGAGATTTTGCAGCAACCAGGGACGGCAGAGAAAATATTAACATCTACATGGTCAAGGACGAGCTGACAAAGAATCATCATAATCACAGAAACACAGCTGAAGGAAGAATGTATGCTAAACCAGGTAATAATTCTAATTAATATAATTGTAATATTTATAATGAATTTAATGTTTATAATGAGTATTTTCACAAATCTAGAAGAAAACAAAGTCATATTAATTTATGACCATCTCATATTCCAGATGATCACATGTGTCCAGTGAAAACCTTCATGCTTACAAAAAACATGGGAACCCTAAATGCGAAGCATTTTTCTAACGCCCAAAGAAAATTTTGAAGGATGCTATTAAGTACACCAATGTCCCCTTAGACGACAATACTTTGGGTGGTTTGATGGCCAAAATCAGTGAAAAGGCGAAGCTACAGTGTATCAAGGAGATACACGAACCATATCTTACGTGCAACATTTTGGATAAGGCAGTTTCCAAGCAGGCATATCATGGCCGTAACAGGGCACAAGACGGAATCCAGTCTTAAAACTTATGCAGGTGACTTTTTTAGTGATACTCTATTAAGTGACAATGTCTGAGATTAAATGATTAAAATCATAAAAATATTTGATGTGTATCATATAAATTTACAAATATATTTAATTAATCATCAGGATCTACTGACTCAACAACCAAAAAAACTGATGTCAGATACCATAAGTAAAAGTCTTAGAGCTGTGATCCCATCCACAAAAATCCCAGAGCCAACAGCCAGTGCACCAGGGGATCTGGATTTCATGTCTGAAAACTTTGATGATGAATTATTTGACCAGATTCTTTCCAGTGTAAATTCAGAAAGTCTTAAGCTTCTCCCGACAGATTTGTTTATCAATGAGGAAAATGAGTGTGAAAATTCTCACGATCAAATCAATTGTAGTACATCAGTCCAGAATATTACTTGTACATCTCATTCAATGCCATTAATGGCTTTACCAAACATAAACAATTGCGGACAAATTACCATTAACTACAATGTTACCGGTACTACATTGTAAAAAAAAAAGAACAAAAATTAGTATTCAGTGAACTGTTCTTTTATGAATGTCTTCTGAGCTAGTCTTTTAGTAATGTTGAGTTTAAATCACAGGAGCCTGGAGTTTTTATCGTCCAAAAAAAAAAAAAAAAAAAAAAAAATCCGGAAAAAAATTTCCCACCCTCAACTAAAAAATACCAGGATGGCAACGTGTTTTGGGGGTACCCACCAAAACAAATACAGTGTAGATATGGGCATGGTCAGGAAAATCTCGCAACGAATTCAAAATCCGGAGTGTCAGTGCTATTTATTCAAGTTAAGAAATCCAATCTGCATGACGATTACCGGCCGTTTCTGGTCCTAGTTAATCTCTGTTAACCTACAAACATGTACAAATAAACAATAATTCGATTGGAAATTATTTTTTAGTAATTATTTATAAAATAAAAAACAAAAAAATTCATGCACAGTTCATACACCCAAAATTACAAAAGGTTGTTTTAGATCTTGTTTGATCAATGCAAACGGAGGACAATCTGTTGTGCAGGGTTGTTTATTAAACTAGCGAAAGAGAAGGAATGAATGTTGAAGGTATTGCATGCTCAGAGTCTTATAATAATTCATTTATTTGTTGTGTCCAGTATATACACTAAACTTAATAAGCAAATTGACTTTCAACAGTTTTGAATCTTTATTTATTTCTGAATAAATATTTCTTCACTGTTGAGGTGGGTAGCGGCATTTCTATGCATGTCATATTTCACTGCTGTGTACTGCAAATACTTCAGTCATTATGATGTTTACTGAAAACAATCGTTGACGTCGCCCATGCAAAAATTAAGGACCACAATAGTTGCGAACGACTCTGTGCCTGCTAATTGGTCAGTAATTACTGTATATTCACAGCTACATGTAGAGGCGTTAACAGGTGTTTTACAGCTACATGTAGGTGTAGATGAAAACATGCTAATTACCTTTTACATATTTAAGTAAATACTGATAAGTTTTGATAAAAATATTTACTTTGAAATAAGAAATTATTTAATATACATCCGAGTAACCGAATACCTATTTTTAGTTTTCAATACTTGGACGTAGGATCGAAGTAGCCGGTGAAGTTGACGTCCCTAGAAAATATATTAAATATATCATAACGGGTTATTGGAAGTCCTTGGTTTCATTTATTAAAAGTTGGATAAATTGTAAAGGAATATTTAATAATAAAAAAATAAAATTATGAGATATTCTTTTTTTTTTCACTTATACACTTTGTAGAAAATTCTAACAAAAGACAGTTGTCAGGAGAATGGTGGAAACAATCTTAAGAAAAGACAAGAGGCCCATGGGCCACATCGCTCACCTGAGAAGCTTTGACCATTCTGTTCTTTACCCGATTTCACCCTTGTTATACATAATGCATCCCCACCCTACCCCACTGATCATAATTTAGACATTTTGAAATCTACACTACCCCATGATCCTTCCATGGGCACATATGTTTCAGCTTTTCTGGCCCAGTGGTTCTTCAGAAGAAGATTTTCAAAGATTTTTCCTGTATATTTCTATATAAAACTTTGATTCCCCATTGTGGCCCCACCCTTCCCCCGGGGGTCATCATTTGAACAATTTAGAATCTACATTATACCAGGATGCTTCCACATAAGTTTCAGCTTTTCTGGCCCTGTAGTTCTTGAGAAGAAGATTTTCAAAGATTTTTCCTATATATTTCTATGTAAAACTTTGATTCCCCATTGTGGCCCCGCCCTTCCCCCGGGGGTCATGATCTGAACAATTTAGAATCTACACTTTACCAGGATGCTTCCACATAAGTTTCAGCTTTTCTGGCCCAGTGGTTCTTGAGAAGAAGATTTTCAAAGATTTTCCTATAAAATTTCTATATAAAAATTTGATTCCCCATTGTGGCCCCGCCCTTCCCCCGGGGGTCATGATTTGAACAATTTAGAATCTACACTATACCAGGATGCTTCCACGTAAGTTTCAGCTTTTCTGGCCCAGTAGTTCTTGAGAAGAAGATTTTCAAAGATTTTCCTATCTATTTCTATGTAAAACTTTGATTCCCCATTGTGGCCCCGCCCTTCCCCCGGGGGTCATTATTTGAACAATTTAGAATCTACATTATACCAGGATGCTTCCACGTAAGTTTCAGCTTTTCTGGCCCAGTGGTTCTTGAGAAGAAGATTTTCAAAGATTTTTCCTATCTATTTCTATGTAAAACTTTGATTCCCCATTGTGGCCCCGCCCTTCCCCCGGGGGTCATGATCTGAACAATTTAGAATCTACACTTTACCAGGATGCTTCCATATAAGTTTCAGCTTTACTGGCCCAGTGGTTCTTGAGAAGAAGATTTTCAAAGATTTTTCCTATCTATTTCTATGTAAAACTTTGATTCCCCATTGTGGCCCCGCCCTTCCCCCGGGGGTCATTATTTGAACAATTTAGAATCTACACTATACCAGGATGCTTCCACATAAGTTTCAGCTTTTCTGGCCCAGTGGATCTTGAGAAGAAGATTTTCAAAGATTGTTCCTATATATTTCTATGTAAATCTTTGATTCCCCATTGTGGCCCCACCCTTCCCCCGGGGGTCATCATTTGAACAATTTAGAATCTACACTATACCAGGATGCTTCCACATAAGTTTCAGCTTTTCTGGTCCAGTGGTTCTTGAGAAGAAGATTTTCAAAGATTTTCCTATATATTTCTATTTAAAAATTTGATTCCCCATTGTGGCCCCGCCCTTCCCCCGGGGGTCATGATTTGAACAATTTAGAATTTACACTACCCCAGGATGCTTCCACGTAAGTTTCAGCTTTTCTGGCCCAGTGGTTCTTGAGAAGAAGATTTTCAAAGATTTTTCCTATATATTTCTATGTAAAACTTTGATTCCCCATTGTGGCCCCACCCTTCCCCCGGGGGTCATTATTTGAACAATTTAGAATCTACACTATACCAGGATGCTTCCACATAAGTTTCAGCTTTTCTGGCCCAGTGGTTCTTGAGAAGATTTTCAAAGATTTTTCCTATATATTTCTATGTAAAACTTTGATTCCCCATTGTGGCCCCGCCCTTCCCCCGGGG